GTTGGCCGAGGATGATTCTAAGTATGTTGCCTTGATAAATGTAGGTTACTGAGTTTTCCATTGATAAATCAATTTCCTTCATTTTAGGACAAAACTACACTACAGGGACTTGTTTTACTACTTTCGAACAAAGATAACTCGGTTATTTCAATAGTGCTGCAAGTATATTTAAAACTTCAGACTTCTGATTTTAGACCTTAAAAGTCATATCTGGTCAACCAGGTGGCATTGATGCTTTGCAATCATTATTGGGATTACGTGAACAGCTAAATGAACTGATTAAACCCAATAACTCTAGTGGAAACGAAGCCTCTCAGCCCTTCTCTAGGAACGCTGAGGAACTTTTATCTTTGCTTAACTGCTCCAATAGACAAGGTCCTCCCAGACCCATAAAAACTAATCCAGAAAAATCACACCCCACCTTCAGACCGAAGAATGTAGTTTTGCAGCTCAGAGGAATAACAGACGAGGTAACTTTTCATGAATACGTAACCTCAGGTTCTTCACTCACCTTATACAAGTTTCGTAACCATATTTGTGTGCTAGGGCCACCTAATTTATTGTCATTGTCTAGATAAGACAAAGCATAACAGTTGAACGCTTATAAGTACGCAGCATTAGCGTACAAGACTCTTGTGTCATGTACTCTTTGTCAGACAATTTTATTTTTAAAATGACTAAATAATATTTATATATTTAAACAGCAGGGTCGTAGAGTCGTCTTCTAAGTAGCTTTTCGTTACAAACTATCTTATTAAGGCCAGTTGAAAGACTTCTGTTAATAAGTATACTGGTTAATGTCTCTGAACTTCAAGAGAGAATAAATTTTAAACTATAGGCTTCTGTTTACTCTGGCGTGAGTCTTGATAACTTCAAAGTACATTCGAAAAGCGTTAGTATAACTCAGTGACTGGCCATACCCTTATATCTGACACTAGGACACAATTATCTGTAAGTAGTTGCCTACTGTACAACTGTAATTCAAACCCATTATCTATGAGACGGATATTTGTGTTATTTGGTCACGACCTTAAGGATCGAAAAGAGGCAATATAACTAAATTCAAAAAATAATTTCATTCAGTAGATTTACTGGTCTTAGGTTCATAGAAGCCCATTGTTGCTGGTTAGTGTCAACAAAATAACTATAATCAGTAGTACAAGTCCAGGATTTTCCCAAAATCAATCAAAATTGCGTAAAGGGTTCGTTTTTCATATGCTTAGTTTTAGTAACAAGTGATTCTCTGTTTCCCCATCTTCACTCTTTCAGCGTTTCTCTAAATTTTGTCCTCTACAGGTTTTCACATAACCCTATATTTTAGCTGTTTCACCTCGTTAGCAACTTTGTCCAGTATGATTTCTTTCAACTGCCTTGTTTGTATTTGTTCGTCATCACAATCAGGAAAGAATTGGAACAGATGAGTGGGATTTTATGAGGTAGTTAGCATGAGCTAGTTTTAACAAGCGGACTTTACTTAAAACCTTTAACGGGTGAATATTGTTATTATGTCTTGGAAGAACAGATTTATGTGTCCACATATGTTCTTGAAGGTTGGGGTGTATACATACGTACAGTTCAAAGCGGATTAAACTAACAAACTGGTGTTTTATTCTAGACATCTCAATAAAGGAGCACCTAAACAAGATGTTGACCTGAAATTCAAGGCATAAGAAACTATATAGCTTCTCTGAATATTTCAGCCATATGTCAAGTTTGTTTTGCTAACCACATTTTGTAGTTGTCTGGTTAGCCTTATTTCAAAAATACTACAAGAAATTAAAGTGAAATATTGTTTTTCATACATTTTATTAGTCCCAGGTGGTTATACTTGAAGAGTAAGTGTTGTGTCAATAAATTGAAGTGCACGTTTTATGCTTGTTCTGTTTAGATTTCTTACGTGAGCCTCATATCTTATTTATTAGGATGATATTGAAATAGTATGTTCAAAGCTCTTGAAAATTCGCGGTGTAGTTAGTATTACATTTCAGCTGCAGAAACATCGCGTTCTTGTATGCACGGTACCTTCGTTAGATCCGGAATGCCTTTTACATGCAGTATCTTCAGTTAAAAACAACCCAGGTCAGTCAGATGGTACTTGTCAAACAGATTCGACCCGTCCCACAATCACAGCCCAGATTGTCAGGAAAAAACATAGAGCGTAAGTGAAATTCTTATCGGAACTTTGATAACCACTAATTCATTTTAATATCCATTACGTTTACGAAATGAAATGTTTTCTTATCGTATGTGAATTAATGATATATCTTAGCTAAACAGACCACAATAAGTAAATTTCTGCCTAATCCAGTTAGATTTCATACTACTAGTTGTAAACTGTTGCCATAAAAATAAAGTCATAATAAGTCATCCATTTGTAACTGATTTACATATGTTGAAAGTTATATTTAAGTCTTATTGACAATAGCACGGGTTTTCCTTTGCATTTATATGCAACTACAAACATTTGATCATTAAGTCTCATAATAGCATCAGCACCATATTCATAAGTGACCATACGTCAACGTACCTTTGTTGGTATCATCTTGTACATTTGTCTATACTAAATTATATGCTACGTTGATAAGCAGTATGAACAATAGTAAAGCGAAATATCTATGTACCATTTCACCCTTCATCACGTGTTAAGGTGTGTGAAAAAGTTCAGCTATTTGTGCAATATAATAAACCAGTTTCAGCGTAAACTTTTCGAGTTCATCTTATTAATTTACTTGAAATCATGAACCTATCTAAGTTAGATCACCATTGAAAATTTGGAAGCACTGAACGGCCAATTCGTCTTAATATAGTATTTCTAAGCACTGCTCATTCACTATCCCGCACGCGAGAGTCGAACTAAGAACCTTCGGTCCCTCGTGAACGCGTACCGCTGAGTCGACATCCAACGGTGTTAATTTTGAACTTCAACCAATCATTTCCATTCCGGTAGCCTTCAGTTTATACTGGCTACAGAAAGAGTAACCCTTTAATGGCTGTATATTGGTTTAATGTAAATGAAATATTTATTGCTGAGTTCAGTAATATCATTGATCAATAAAAAAATTTCTGAAAACTTATTGTTATACGTTAATCAACCATTCTTAAATAATATGTTGAAGCCCATAGAAACGCGTTAGTTATCTTCATTAATACAGTTACTAAAGCATAAAAACCTCAGCGGTCTAGCTCCGTCCAGAAGTAATCTACAAGCAACTTCATCGATTTTAAAGGTCTGTCCGATAATGAACGCCTACATTGTTACTAAAGATTTTTGTTAACATTTTCACTGACAAATGTTTTGTAAAGTGATAACAAAAGTATAGGATGAAATGAATTCATTTCGTGTATTCTAAATTTTTCACATACAAAACAATTTGTAAATGTTATGTTATATATACCATGAATAAAGTAACCCAGTTTACCAGCAAGGAGTAATTATGAATACTTTGCACGATGATACAAATTCAATTTATAGAGAAACAAAATAGTGAGTGAAATACACCATTCTATGTATTTAATTTACATGAGGTTTGGTTCAACTGGGCACAAAAATTTGTAAGCGCTGCACAAGAATTCTGTGTGTGCGCTAGAATACTTCTCGAATACCTAGACGAAAGCTTATATTTCCCTAAGAGGATCACTTTCCAATTTTTTTACCAAGTATAATCTACAACAAGGCAGTGGAGCAAGGTTAGCAAAATGTACATGCTCCAACTGTCATATGTAATTATCGACTTATTTCGCGTTAGTGAATAGCAATAAAATAAGCCATACAAGAGTGAATTCTGGTTACGTATATTTCATACACCCGTCGATCCAGACAAACAAGGGACACGAAGCGAACAAGAGAAGGCAAATATGTCAACTCCATTTGAAGGAACGTGACTCAGTATTGATAGCTAAATATTTGACGACTAGGATAAGCATACGCTCGTATAAAAACAACCAGGGTTAGTAAGCGAGTAGTTGACAGGGTTAAAATGTTGATAAATAAGCTGATGTATCTGGAGGCTAAAAACACTCGTGGGATTGACATAGTGCTAGACACTACGATGCATTTTATCCCATCTTAACTTTAATGTACTTCTATTTAATATGCGTATGCAGAGGGTTTTTCTTTAGTACCTACCTAGAATACATTAAAGAGGAAGAATGTATTTGTAAAATCTCAGCGAATGAATTTTGAAGTAAATAAATCCTTCCTCTTTAATGTCTCACATTAACTCAGCGCCCAAATACTGTGAAATTATTCGATCAAATTTAGACGAAAGTTTTTATTTATCTACCTAGAATACGCTTTAAAAAGCTTTTTAACTATGTTTTTACCTTCCATTTTTCATAGAAGTCAGTGTTTGATTTTATATTATACATATTAATTCTAGGCAATCCTTATGCAGACACAGTTCATTCAACGGTTTAAAATATAGGCAAAACTCGCGAAATACTGAAGTCCCACCTTATTTAGAAGATGATGCTGATCTCTTTGAGGTTGATGAAACGAGAGCTGCTCCAAAATTAATGGATGCTCCAAGCAAATCAAATCCTTCTAAAGGTCCTATTAGTTGGCTATCAGATTTCCTGGAAAAATCACTATTTTGGTGAATTTAGTACAAGATTTCCTGTTTCATAGGTTTCATATTTATGTCAACTACTGTATTTAGAAATAGAAATACAAACTTCCTATAACTTACATTTCCTGTAATAGATCTACAATATGTCAATTGTCGTTTGGTCTCACGAATTAATGCGACTTTCTATGCCAAGATCCCAACCCGACTCTTGATTACCATAATCTGCAACAATAATAAATGATTGGATATTGACATTTGGTGTCGATTAATAGGAATTTTTCTTACTACTCATCAGCTACAGATTTGCGTACTTGGCTTTGAGCTAAACTTTTAGGATTGAGGGTTAGGACTAGTAGTATCACTTACCACATGATATGTATGTACAGAATGGTTTCCCTGGATTTAGTACCCAGAGGATAAAAATGAAATAAATTTCAAAGTTAGCAATTTATTAGGCAAAGGAAAAAATACTTCACTATGTATACTGATAACAAGCTCAATTAATAATGAACTAAAGAGGTCACAGATCCGAACGAACTTTAAATCCAGGACCCTTAGGTTCTGTAGTCAGTGATGTCAAACCACCTTTCGGTTCGGATGCAAAACGTCCACCTTGTCCGCTTCTAAAATGAAGATAAGTTAGAAAAAATTCAAGTATCCATTTGACTATCAATTTAAGCATGATAGTGAAATCGTTTATGTCAAGCTAATCTGCGAATATTAAAATTATCATACACTAAGACCCAGGCTTCAATATAAACCTGTCATGTATAGAAATGGACGTATATAGACGTATTCAAAAAGGGAGTAATTAGATAACATTTTAATGTCGACTACTTTCCATTTAGTTCAACTGGACGATCAATAAAGAAAGAACAGAACGAAAACTTGAGGTATAGAGAAACCAATTTTACTAGCATTTTGAAGCGAATATAGAGTTGAATAATAAGTACTTTTTTACACGGATTTTAAGTCCTGAAACTAAAATAGCAAGACAGATATAATTTGGAGCCTTTAGAGTGTTGAATAATTTTCAAAGATGCCTCAGCACCTTCATATTTATACGCAAGCGATAAATGAATATCTCAACGTTACGATAGAGTTCAGGTACCAAACTCACTAATCTATTCATATCAATAAAACTACCTGAATCATCTGTTAAATTGTTTCTAATCGACAATTATTTCTCGTTGATTGGCCTCAATCAGCTGAGAAATGTGAGTAAAGACTTAATTTAGCTGTGCTGTACGTTACGAAAAACGTATTTGAAGTTAATGCTGATCAGGATACCTTATCATAATCAGATGCAATTATTTGTATATCTTTGTCTAAGATAAAAAGATCATTTTGCGGATAGTATTTCATGAATTACACGCTGGAGAAATAAAATACGATCGAAAACTCACTAACAGTCAGAAATGATATCTATGTCGTGTGAGTCGTCAGTAAGACTTACAAACTCCAGGAAGGTCCGTGATTTCTTTAACGTTTGCCGGCACAAACGTTACCTCACATACTTATAGCCTTGAATGAAGTTGAGAAAACCGTCTTACTTATTCGGCTCAGCTAACATGTCAATTGCCTCTATTTCACGTTATGAGCTAAGCAGACGAGTAGGTGAAAAGTGCGATTTTCTCATTACTTCAGTGGCTCTACGTTTTAGAAACTGAGGAAGTCAATAAAGGATTACAAATTTAAAACGACTTTGATAGTGTGACTTATGTGGAAGAAATCAGTAATTTTCAAAAAGAAAATTGAAGTAGTGATTAAATAATAAACGTCCATAAGATATAATTTAAAACTTACTGTGGGCCAGGTTTTGGTTTTTTCCCAGCTTTTATTTCATCAAGAATACGAACTGTATCCTCTGCTGTTAGATCCTCCTACAAGATAATATATAAGAGAGTGGGTTACAATTAGAAGTCCATTTTAAATAATTTTGAAATCATACAAAAAAGAAAGGTTATCTCATAAATTAGTAGACTGACTTTGCCAATGAATTATTTATTTATTTGGACACATGAATATTGGTACAAGAGAGCGCCAATGAATAGCAAGTGTTCAAATATTTACGAGACCACTAGTGTTCTCAAAGTCTTGCTAATGGCTTGACAAGCACCAAAACAAGATATAACATTTCCTCAACAGTACCTTGAACAACTGGAAATGAAATTTTATCTATGAATAGAACTCCAAATTGTTGTCAACTATGTGAACTTAAGGTTTTGTGTTAATAAGAGAATTTTTAAAGATCAAGCCTAAGGGTGAAATCTGCCTAATATTTTGGCTAGTAAACGAGTAACTCCGTTTTTATAGTTTGCTAATTACTTGAAGTTATTTCTATTAGTTTCATTTTTGGTCGACTTCTTTTCTCTGGAGTTGTGAAATACGATATCTTGAGGAAATGCAATATTATGCTAGGCTAAGCCGATGATATTTTTCATACATTTAGTACATCTAATTGACTGCATTTTACCAGCACTGTGAACTCCCTGAATTAATATACTAACATAATTGTCAGTAAATATTATTAATGGAAACTATGAATGGAATGGCGTAACGCTTATTTGCAAAATCACACTTCAGTAACTTTAGCGACGCTAAAAATCTTCAAGTCCAAGTTTTTTGAAGTGAGAGGGACAAGTAATAATTGACATTTCTTGAATTATGACAATCTCCCGACATTTTAATAACGATATGGGATTAGCTAGCGAACATATCTTTACAATATAGACTAGTGGTTCGTGATTAGTTGGGGCTTACGTACTGATCGGCAGTTTTTACTTTCCTCTAGTTCTGTTAACAGCTCAGTAATTCAACCCAAGCAACTGAATCATTAAACTATCCACACAAATTAACAATATACAAAGTTTAAAAAAATTTACATGATCCACCATCCAAAGTGAAAACAACACAACTCTAGACAAAAAAATGGTACTTTTCCATCACAGTTTCATTTGGGAACCGAAAAGCGCAGACCATAAAGTAATCTGCTTGACACAACTAGTGCTAACCCTAATTTATTGACTTTAGTTACTCAGATCTATATATTCTAGAGGTCAACGACTCAGTATTTTTGACTCAACTGATGCTACGAAAATTTAACTCCGTTATCTAAAATACTTGATTTTTAAAAGAAAACTATGGTGAAATCTCACAGATGGATTATACATAAGTATTTTTTTCTTAGCAATAGCCTTCAATGTTACAAAAATCTGCCTTGAAAAAAGATTTTAAAAACCTACATAATAATCGTCATTAATTTGCATCATGGGCGCATTTACACAAGCCCCAAGGCATTCCACTTCTGTCAGTGTAAACATTTTATCAGGTGTGGTCTGACCCGGTTCAATACCTATGAAACCGAGAAAACAAATATTAGTTTAAATGTAAAAGTACAGGTCACAATTAAGTATTGTGCAGTATAGTTTAAGAGCGATCCGGTTTTCCTCTAGAAAACTAACTTGCTTATTGCAGGCTTGACTGTAATGTGCATATACTATTGGTTTACTAAACAAACGGATTTCAGAAAAATACCTAGGTTAGGTAAATCAAACGATTCCTGTTGTCGATATTATGATTCACGGTAGGAGTCCAGTACAAATGTTAGGCTAAACTTAAAAGAGTACAAAATGGCAACCACATAACTGCTTGTATAGGTCAACGGTTCAATAATCCATATCATAAACAATCCTAATAGATTGACACTATTCTATTTACCAAAGAACAAATGGTTTATAAACAACCTACCTTTAAATTCTGACGGCATAGTATATTATTAAGATCCCTATGGTTGTTTAACTATTAACATAAAAAATACAAACTTTGAAATGGGCTGATTTCCCAAGAGATAGGCACCAATGTTAAGCACAATGTTGGTAGAAACGATATATTAAAGAATTTATAGGAAAATGTTACGAAATATAATGACGACATACCAAGTTTTTTCTTGAGTGCGTTTAAAATAACTTCTGACCCTACACCTCCTAGCATACACGGGGTTGTGGTACATATTTGAATGTGATACTTTCCTACTGGTTCCCTGAAAATGAGGAAAAAAGTTCGTCAACAAATTTCTAAGCTACATTACTTAGCGCGCAACATGTCAATTTTAAGTTTAGATCAGTCAGCCACAAAAACCTTGGAATCCGGCACATATCGGCATTGATTCAGGTTTCCATGCCACATTAGTACAGCGAGATGAAATAATGACACGTCAAAGTTGTAAAATTAGCAACAGTATAAGCAGTAGTAAGTAGATATTGTCATATTGCCACAGATAAGCACGTTAAACTACCGAGTAATACACATAAACTGGTGTTCCTAGATGAAGTATTAAGCAAAAATGTTAACACTGAGAGAATCGGGAACACATAAAATAATGAGAATTGATTATAAAGCGTCAAGTGATAGTTGTGGAAAGGGTGTAGTTGTAGCTTCACTATGTTGACTATCGGGTTACACATTCTTATAGACTTCCTTCTAGTCTTTGGAGATTTAAACACGGGTTTAATTGCACTAACTTATTACATATAGCGTGGTCAGGAAGTAAGGTGGAAGATATACAGAAAAGTATGTCTTGAAAATGTTGCAGGTTAGAGTGTGGGTAGTATTTCAGTTTTACACAGTCATAGTAGAATTACTGGAGCAAATCTGGAAGACTTTGATTGGAGTCTACAATAAGATTATCATGCAAAGAGCGGGTTGAAAAGCTAGAACTATTTACTTTGTCCTATCGCAGATTAAGAAGTCATCTGATTTTGATGTATAGAGTACTAAGAGATGATTTTGGAACTAACACATCCTCTCTTTTTTCCACTTGATTGGTACATTTTAGAGGACATAGTAGGTGAATAAAAAGCCAAGGACGAACAAAATACCCGTGGTATACAGGTTTTACACCGAGTCATCAATTCTTCGAACTTGTTACCCGAAGCAGTGGTACCCGCACCTTCAGTTGCCTCATTCAAGGGAAGAGTGAATACTCACAGAAGCATACTAGAGAAGGAATAACATAGGTCGTAGGTCTTCTGTCCTTATTACACAAATCTGAATATTTGATACTACTGCTAACCTGTTAAACATGGTATAGAATGTGGCAACTTCATAAACCCTCATCTGGGGGACATTAAGAATCTCTGCCACTTTGTTCATAGCGGATATTGGCAACCATCCTAAATAAAGTTGATATTAATTCAATCTAGCCATTATTACCGTGTTGTCGCTGAGCTAAATCCAAAGCAGGAATTATAGCAGCAGCCTTGTGAGCAGGGGGATAGTTTGATATTATCACATCCAGTCTCTTTTTGTTTTCTGCAGAAAATTCGAAGGTTGTATTAGAATTGTTTTCAGGGGTTTCTCTGTGCTAACATCGGAATACACAAAAATAAAGTACAACTCACTACAAAGAGGTGGGATGATTGACGTCCAAAGTTTCTAAAAAGAAACTCATCTGACCTACACAATAACTATGACAATAAAACAGATTAAAACTAGCTACCTTGAGTGGTACGGCGCCAAAAGCACGTAAGGCCATAATCCGACCTTGCTAATGATAAGAGATAGCGTACACTTTGAACGGTCTCTCGACCTTCAAATCTGTTAGAATCAAGTGTCTTCTCGTAAACGTCTGATGGCATGTCTAAGACCACTAATTAAAAATGAAAATAAAAATCACTTGCCTTGTGATTGAAAATAGATGATACTAAACTCAGTGTATTCAATCAGCATTTTGTAGTGGTAAATAAATCCCCAATATAAATAACTCTGTAAGTTTCTGACATTGAATGCTGACCACATGTTTTGATGGACTCACCTAGCTGAAGGCGCTCGGTCATGCACCTCACCAGATCACGAGTGGGAACGCTGTGCCCAACATCTACTGCAATCGCTAGCCAGATTAGATCAGACGATTCTCGATATATTGACAGCCAACAAATATATATTCCGGTCTCCTCGATTCTGTCTTTTGATTCCTCTTGGTGGGTACGAGTTACATTAGAAGTTGTTACTTGTAAAAGCGAGTACCTGTGCCATCTTCAATTTAAATACTGGAATTCCAACTGATTTTTACATCCCTGGGGATTTCAGTTTAACTTTGGAGAAGACAGGAGGCTAGGTGACTTTTGTTAGTCCCGGCAATGATGGTCTCTCAGTTGATCCAATTTTTTTAAGGCGTCGATAAGTAGAGCTTCAATCACGTATTGAGGTAATGAATTCCATTCGTTGATGATTCGATGGGAAAGTCGATACTCAACTGACAAGTAATCTGTTCCGAGCTTGTAAACATTTTTAATGTTCTCACACGTTTTCTGTTTTGGATGAAAAAAAAGAATCAGGGCATATCAGATGCGAATTTATCATTAAGCAATTAAAATCTGTGATCAGGTCGCCTCTGGTTCTTCTATATGACAATGGAATTGGGTTGAGCTCAGCCAGCCAAACATCATACGGAAGCTTAGCTAATCCTGGGATCAATTTAGCTGCAGTTCCCTGAATCTTTTCCAACACTGTATACAAAGTCAAAAAGGTTCTGGTATCGACAAGGCTAAAAGTCCTATGTATTGAGCATAAGGTTCTACAACCTTTGGTGGCTATCGCATAGTAATGTGTAATAATTTCTAAGTTGTAGTGACCTACTTTTATCAAGAGAATGCTATTGGTTTAATGGAAACAATTATCATTATAGCCGATTGTACCAGTGATTGTGTTACTGTACTTGCTTGTTTAACTGTACTAAAGGCATCCATTATTCTTCCATTCTTCTTTCCGTTGTTTGTGACCTTGCACGAACTTACGTTTGTTCGGTAAATCCGCTTGTAGTCCTTTGGCACGATCTCGGTATTCTTTCGATATCACGAGATCACCAACAAATATACTTAGCTACAACCTTCAATTGCCTTCTGATATTTGGTACGCAACCTTTCTGTAGTGGTGATCATAGTCAACCGTGACTCGACGCCACACTACAAAGTCTTGGCTAACGATGGCTTCTAGGTAATTTTGTATATGGACAACAGGTAACTCAATGTTATTCACTGTGTATGTATTTGTACCTCGATGACCAATATGCATCACAATTCACATGGAAGCACGTATCGGCAACTGCCGAATTTGAGATATGTCAAACAATTTCTACAGGTCATTTTAAAGCTCTAAACGATCACCTTCGTTTTTTATCGCTCTCCATATCTCGATAACACACTAAATGAGATGTGGCTTTCAATTAGGACATAATTTCGAAGTTTGTGTTATCGCTTATTATCTTTATTACAGACTTTGTCACAAGGACGACGGCATGCATAATTTGACACAAGGTGTTTTAAGGGCTGATACTATATTCTAGCCTCTAAACAGACCAGTCTATTCATTCTTCTCGGGCCACATTTTTATCCTGTCACTTATTCGCTCATTATCCCCGACTGTTTTTTATATGATCTTACGTCTGCAACCCCTCGTGGATGAACACACTAATCTACGCAGTCGACAAAACAATCTGAAAGTCAGTAGACGGAGGAAATGACTTGCCATAGCTTCAAAACCAATTTGTAGTCGTATCACTTCTAACCACAAGATCCTCGAGGCTGAACATAAGATAACTGAGAATATTCACATTCAACATTTAACGGGGTGAAGGTCAAAAATGGCGAACGCATGAACAATGGTTCCGTATGGCATGACTTAGTCCTACAGACGCGGTCATTCTGTACAACTTATCCCCATCCACATCAAATATATTATTCTATCCACAACCTAAATTAGTTCTTCAAAAGTGTTAAATATCATATTGCCGATTGTCATGACAGAGAACCAGGATAGACGATGGCATGAATTTTGCATAAGATTGTAGTGGCATTGGACCATAACCACACAATCTTCAAAGCTGAACACAAGACTACTCAGAAAATAGATATTCAATATTTAACGCGGAGAAATACCTAACGATGGAGAAGGCGCGAATAATGAGTTGAGTGTGTAGTGGCATTGGACAATAGCCACACAATCCACAAAGCTGTGAACACGAGACTACTCAGAAAATAGATATTCAATATTTAACTCGGGGAAATACCTAACAATGGAGAAGGCGCGGATAATGAGTTGAGTGTACTGGAGTTGATCAAGTGGCATGGCTCGTCCATGCAGGCGTGGTCCATCTGAATGTTACTTTATATCTTCTATTCATATTAAATACATTGTTCTTTCTCTAGCCTAACCTTGTTCTACATCATGTATTGGTAATTGATACGATACAGTGAGTTGGTGTAGTCGATGGTGTGACTTCCACGTAAGATCTTATGGATTAGGCAGTTATATCATGACAAATCTACAAATTTAGGATTAGGTCTATTATCAGGAGCAGTACTAATATCATAGTAGACCATAATTCTACATTGGTGAGCCCAACTAAAGAAACGCAGTCCATTACTGTTTATCCTTATTTCCACCTTAACCTCAATCGGTTTTTATTTTGTAAACCCAGTATTCGTATAGTCCTTTGATTAATGGTCACATATATTATCGTAATGTTATATCTATTAGTTCACATAACTTACTAGCTCAATCGATTATAAAAGTTGATCATCTATTTCAACTAATTAGCTTTGATGGTTCGTTAACAAGCTTTAATAGCATTTACATGCTTCAGCGACATAGTCTTGTTTAAACATCAAGCTCTAGCAAATATGACCTGTAAATAGCGTGAATATACATTGACTAACAATGCGATCAAGGACTAAATAGTTATCTGGATCTAATTCTCAGTGTTCCTTCACTTAACACCTCATCCTGTTTTAAACTATGCACTATCCTGTAATATCTTTTCTTCCGACCACTGCCTGCCTAATTTCATATTCTCGAGTTCCATTGCCAAACAACGAGGATGACTACTCCAAAAACATACGGTGAGTTTCAGCTATAAGTTTTCTGCAATCATTTTTAGATGGTTCGTTCAATGACAACCATACAATTATCTGGATTCATTCGATTGTTCTGATCCGAGCGAGTGTCAAAAACCTCAACAGCATCAAGCACCCTGGAATTAATTGCCATACTGCATGTTTTATTCTGGATGCTTTTGGATCAACACTACTCACGAATGGCGTTATATATGTCGTCCACTGAATAATCTAATTTTCAAAAATAATCAAGGCGAGTTCAGCTATTTTACTGGATGATTTTTTGGTACTTAACATGTATATGTTTTCCAGTTGCTTGTGCCATATATTTGTAAGTGTCTCTAGGCTAAATGCAGGAATTTCTCATGGAAAGTTTATAATGCGTTACATTCCTGCTTGAAGTTTCATAAGCAGTCTTGACTTTAAAATTACTTTTCCTGGTCATGTTCATTATTTTTAAATTGTCATATACGTCAAGAACCTGCATGTTAACCTGACCCACACCCGCGTTGCACTATATCTTCATGTCTTCTAAATTTAGAAATCATCTGAATCGTCTTTAATATTTATCAGTAAACCCATCATAGTCGTTGTTGCTAATCGTATTTGGGTTTATGAATTGGTTTATCATATTACCAGCCTAAAATGCGAACATAGTTTAGATAATAAGATTAAAAATTTAGGTACTATCAACTGCACTAGTAAAATAACTAAATCCTCAGGTAGCCGTTGGCTAAACAAACGTTTAAAATCAAAACTCCGTAGCCTACTAGAATTAACACTAGACGAATATTTCTGAATTGAAATTTATAATTAAATTAGGCGTCTCGGATTCTTTAACGTTATAAATTTCTGATAACTTCGAATCACCTAAAGCAAAGCAACAATACCTATTTTTCCACTGACTAATCCTCATTCAACACTATAACTAGTTAAACATAATAGTTTCAGGATATCGTCATAAAGCATTGTCATGACTTGACAATCACGTAATATGACTGATAAAATTAATGAAACTATTATCGAAATCGGTCAACAAATTGGCTTATAATTACCATTAAATGGTGTTGTTTTCTTGGTATCTTCATCCATCACAGATGATTACAGTATGTTTCTCTATCAGTTGCTCATTAAGTAAATATCTCAAAACCTTGTCAGTCTTATTGATGGTTTAGCGACACAATCATGCATGCAAATAATCAGTATAAGCAGTCGAGGAAATCTGCAAACTGAAAACATCAATGTCGAATTTACCCCAACACTGACTAAGGTTCAAGCCATTATCATAGACATGAGTTGGGAGTGTACTCGCCTTGGTTACAACTTATGTTCTCCCTGATAATCACATGAGCATCACTCACTATTAATCATCTTGTAAAAACTTATTTAGCTAAGTATATCTTGCAGCACCACATCACTTCGTAATATGACCCATAGGCTTAACTGATTTTAATAACCTATAACCACTATATCTCAATTAAATCGTATTCCGCCTTATGATAAACTGCATACTTGCAACTAACTTGTATGCCCAATCAGCCAGCAAGTATAAATATAAATAAATAGTCTGCCGCAGATCAGAACATTGAGTCTAGAGCATGTCTCTTACGAACACACTCATGTTTAACGATTTTTCCTAGCTATCTGTCCAAAATTCATATAATCATCACTCACGTATTTAAATTTTGTTTTGATAACCATTAATGTGTAT